AAGTTAGAGAAAAATATTTAAAAAAAAAATTTTTTTTTTGGTACCTGAAATCAAACTCAGGACCTTGTGCTTGCCAGGCAGGTGCTTGTGCCACTGAGCTATATACCTGACCCCTAAGCACTGTATTGTAGACCTGTCATCTCCACTCAGGTCCATTCCAACTCGACTGGCCTTACAGAGTAGCCACCGAGCAAGAGGTGGCAGGTGAGGCAAGTACTGCTGACTGGGGCTGGCATTTTTGATCTCTAGTTATCAAGGCTGATTATTTTCCAGTTAGGTATTATTTTGGGGACAAAGGGAAATGTTAAAAATTTGATCTCATAGCCAGGGTGGTGGCATGCCTGTAATACCAGCACTTGCAAGGATCAGGAGTTCTAGGCTAGCCTGCACTACGTAGTGAGACCCTGCCTCAAAAAAACAAGCAATAGGACTTGGGATGTGGCTCAGTGGTAGAGTTCTTGCCTTGCATGCACAAGACCCTGGGTTTGATCCCCAGCACCCCCACACACACATACAGAGTAAAGTAATATTATTTTTTAAAATTTTTAATCTTTTCGAGACAGTGTTTTGCGATGCAGTTCAGGTTGGCCTTGAACTCACTTTGTAGCCCAGGATGGCCTTACACTCCAGGCAATCCTCCTGCCTCAGCCTCCCAAGTGCTGGGATTACAGGTATACACCACGACACCTGGCTAATAAGGTGACTTTATAAAAGTTAAGAGCAAATAGCTGTTACCAGAGGTTGGGGAAAACAGAGGGTCAAGAAGAGAGGGAAAAAGATTGGCGGATTCTAAATTACAGTTAGATAGCAGAAATGAGTTCTAGTATTCCATTGTACAATAGAGTGATTATACATAACGATAATGTACTGTTGCTTTTTCAAAAGCTAGAAGAAAAATCTAGGCGTGGTTATCACATCTATAATCCTGGCATGCGGGAGGCTGAGGCAAGAGGATCGCTATGAGATCAAGGTCAATCTGGGCTACATAGTGAGACCCTGTCTCAAAAAAAAAAAAAAAAAAAAAAGTAGAAGAAAGGAGTTTGAATCTTTTTACTGCAAAGGAATGATAAATGTTTAAGGTGATAGTTATGTTTACTCTGATGTGAATATTACACAATACGTACATGTGTGGAAACATCATATGGTGCCGCATAAACACAATTTTTGTGTCGATTTAATTTTATTATTTTGGTACTGGGGACTGAAGCAAGGGACATATGCTAGGCAGGTGCTCTACCACTGAGTTATTGAACTACATTACCAGCTCTGCCACCTGTTTTGTTTTGTTTTGAGCGAGCAGCTTGCGATGCTCCCGGCTGCCCTTGAACTCACTGTACAGCTCAGGCTGGCCTCCAGAGGATCCTTCTGCCTCAGCCTCCTGAGTTGTGGGATGACAAGCATGTGCCATGATAACTAGCAATTTTTTTTTGAGACAGTCTCTGGTTGAATTGCCCAGGCTGGCCTCAAACTCACAGTCCTCCTACCCCAGACTCCTGAGCAGCTGGGATTACAGGCAGGTGTGCACCATCCCTGTTTTTTTTTTTTTTTTAACTTTTAGAAAGACATACTTCTTGGTTTTGTTCCTTTTTTTCTTTATCTTTCTTTATGAGACAGGGTCTCACTATTAGTTCAGGCTGATCTTGAATTCACTATGTAATCCAGGCTAGTCTCTAACTGGCAGCAATGTTCCTGCCTCAGCCTCCCAAGTGCTGGGATTGCAGGTGTGTGCCACGACACTTCTAATTTCCTTTTAAAAGTCACTTTCCTTGTCATCTTCTGGCATATTTTCAATGTCGAATTTCTATTACTCCCAGTTTCTTTATCCCTGACTTCTAAAATTGTCTGTAATTAAAAAATATTTGTCCCTTACCTCTTCATTCATCACTTGACTCAGCCACCCAATCAATCTGTCTGGTTCATCTCAGCTCCTTTACTGCCAGACCTGGGGGCAGGGACTGCTCCCCTTTCTCTGCCTTCTTCTTGGTTGTGATGACCAAGGTGTAAAGATACCTGTTGCCATGGAATTTTAAACGTCGCATTATCTTTGTTCTTCATTTTGAGAGCTTTGGCGTCCTTCTGCTTAGCTCTGAGCAGAAAATCCTTGATTCCTTCAATTTTTTGAGGCATGGGGACGAGGTGTGTGGGGACTGGTACTGCCAGAGAGACACAGTCCAGTGAGCATTTTTAAAGTACCTATTTTGGTCGGGCGTGGTGGTGCACTCCTCTAATCCCAGCACTTGGGAGGCGGGGCTGAGGCAGGATCGTTGCGAGTTCGAGACCAGCCTGGGCTACAAAGTGAGCCCAAGACCAGCCTGAACTGCATGATGAGACCCTGTCTAAAAAAGGCATAAAAATAAAATAAAAAATAAAATAAAATATCTAATTTGTGCAAGGTAGTGGCGCTAGGCAGAGTTTAAAAATTAAATAGACACATCCTGTTTTAAGTTCACAGTCTTCTTTATTAAGTAAAAATACAGGACACAGGGCTGGGGATATAGCTCAGCCGCACAGCATCTGCTTGGCAAGCGCAAGGCCCTGAGTTCGATTCCCGATACCAAAAAAAAGAAACAAAGAGAGTTAAATTTGAATCTCAGATAAACTAGGAATCATTTGTTAATACAAATATGTCGCATGGACACCGTGACGGGGAAGGACTGTAAAATAAAAGAACTTTAAAAGTGCTTGCAATATTCCCTGGAGAGGGTGTCTGAATTAGACTGATGCAGGGAAACAGCAGGCCCAGTGATGCGCTTGCCCTAAGGAGGAAGATCCCGCTTCTGTTTGGAAAGCCACAATTCATCTGCCCGCTCTGCCTGCTTCGACCGCTAGATGGCGCAACAGACGCATTTACTGAAACCATAGACACAGGCAATTTGGCCGCCCAGAGAGCCCAGAGAAGCTTTTTCGGGCCTGTCTCGCTTTTCCCGCGCCTAGAGAGCCCACACTGGAAGCCGCGTAACAAGCGGTTGCACGCAGGTCTCACGATAGTAAAGCCAAATCTCGCGATTCCTTTTTCTTGTTTGCCTAGCGACTGACAACAGGCGAGTTGCTCCAAGTCAGATCCCTGAAGCGGCCTGGCCTGAGACTGGAGTGGGACCTCAGTCCTCGGCTGGGGTTCTTTCCATTTAGCGGAGACGGATTCAGAAGGGCTCCAGGTAATTCGTACTCACCTTGCAGAAAGGGAACTGCTGTCTACCTTCTCAAGAGGACTTGTGTTGCCATTACTCTCAGACGCCTCTTCCTAACCGGGCGTGGTGGCGCGCGCCTGTAATCCCAGCACTCGGGAGGCTGAGACAGGAGGATGGTCGCAAGTTCGAGACCAGCCTGGGCTACAAAGTGAGCTCAAGGCCAGCCTGAACTGCGTAGTGAGATCCTGTCTCAAAAAGACAAATAAAATAAAATGTAATATAATATCAGACGCCTCTTCCCATCTCCATGCCAGCTCTTCTCCCCTTCCTCCTCCCACCACCAAATTCCTGCTTCCTTTACTCCCCAAGCAACTTAGGTGGAATCCGATCAGCAAAAGGAATGGAGATGGGTGATGCTTTTGGTATTATTAGGTGAGACCCAGAGAGAGACCGAGGTTTACCCTGTCTTCGGTACACCCAGTCCCCGGTCCCCACCCCCAGAGACAGAGCTCGTATCAAACTGCTGCAGTTTGCGCTGAGAAACCCCATCGGCTTTGAGAAAACAGAGCTTGCCTGAAAGAAGGGCAACATCCACACAGGAAGACAGCTTTGGAGGAGCTGTGGAGAGGTTGGCTGTCGTTTCCCTCCGGATTCCCAGCCATCCTGCCAGCAGTTCCTCAATAAAGGCTGCCGCAGAATGGTTTAACTGCTGGACTAGAGGCCAAGAAGCCTTGCGGGGGGGGGGGGGGGGGGGCAGAGAAGAAGCCTTGGGGAAAGTTTGCATGGGGATAAAGGTTTTATGGAAAACTGGCAGCGTAGGTGAGGAAGAGGAAGCCATACCTGGCAGAGCGCTCAATGTGTGTCCCATGGTAAGAGCTAAGTAATCGCATCTCCTTTCGCTTAGACGAAGGTTGTTGAGAACCAGACGTATGATGAGCGGCTAGAGATTAACGACTCCGAAGAGGTTACAACCATTTGTACTCCAACCCCAGGACACCAAGGTAAGAGGATGAAGAGTACAGGAGAGAAATACTGTAGTCCCCAGAATCGAGGAGGGTGGATTCGTGTTTGGTTTCAACAGGGTCAGAATTTATAATAGCACATGTTGACCTTCAGAGTCAAGTTCCTTCGCTTGTGGTTGTTCCTGTTCTGTTTCAGAAAGGAGGGGAAAAGCACAGCTTGCAGGATCTTCCTTCAAGCCAGCAACGTTACCTTTTCGTGTTACTGCTGTGCTCACAGTCTGAAAGCGGTCCCTGGTTTTCTCCCTTTTTGTTTTTCTTTTGTGATGCTGTGATGGCCTCGTTCCTGCATGATACATAGGCAAAGCCTTTTCCAGTCAGCTGTGTGTGTGTGTGTTTGCAGTACTGAGAATTGAACCTAGGGCCATTCAACTGAGCTACCTTGCCGAGTCACAAATTTTTGATCCTCCTGCCTCAGCCTCCCAGAGTGCTGGGATTACAGGTGCATGCCACCATACCTGACTGTTTTTTTAACTTATCAAAATTATATTTCACTCAGCTTGTACCTTTAATCTGCAACCCCAATCAAAACCTCAACAGACTATTTTTAGAGGACTTCACACCATTCATTTATTCAACAAATTATTTCTTTTCGTTTTTGAAAGAGTTTTCCCTCTTTCCCAAACTGGTCTTGAACTCCTGGGTTCAAGTGTTTTCTTATGCTTCAGCCTTCTGCGTACAAAAATGTCATCACACCTAGCTTAGACATTTTGAGTATCTACTATGTGCCATGCTAGCCTTATAATCACAGGAGACAGATAGCAAATGAATAAGCAAACATAACTACAAATGTGGTAAGTGCATTGATAGAATCAAGCCATGTGTTAGGGAGAATAAGGGTGGGCCAGGGATGTAGCTCAGTGGCATAGCACCTGCCTGGCAAGCACAGGTCCTGAGTTCCATTCCTGGTACCAGAAAAAAAGAGAGAGAATAGGAAGGAGGCCTATTGTTGATAGGGTGGTCAGGGAAGATTAGTATATGGGAGAGGGGAGTGGTATATGGTCAGATCAGAGAAGTAGGCAGGAAGCTAACAAGCAGGGCTTTGGAGGCCACGTTGCTGGTGTGTGTGGGCTGGATTGAAAGGTACAAAGGTGAAAGTGGGCAAGGACTGCCCATGGCTGAGGTGAGATGATGGTGGTTTGGACTGTGGCAATGAAATCAGGAATAGAGGCAGGAGGCAAATGCAAGATATTGTTAAAGAATCACTAACGTGCTGGTGCATTGGATTTGATTTTTCTTTTCTTGAGGGGATGGTTTGAGACAGGGTCTTTTGCTCTTTTGAAGAGTCACTGTTTATTTTCATTTATTTATTTTTTTGCGGTACCGGGGATCGAACTCACAACCTTGCGCTTGCCAGGCAAGCGCTTATGTTACTGAGCTATATCCCCAGCCTCTTTGCTTTTTTGAGACAGGCGGGTCTTCAGTTTACTGTGTATTTCTGATTGGCCTCAAACTTGCAGTGATCCTCCTGCCTTAGTCTTCTGAGTGCTGGGGTTACAGGCCCATGCATGGCAGGATTTGATTGTTGAGTTAGGAATTAAAGATGACACTCAAGATTTTTGTTTATTGTGGTAAAATGTACATATCATAAAATTTATCATTTTAACTTTTTTTTTTTTTGAGATAGGGTATGTAGTCCAGGCTGGCCTTGAACTTGTGATGATCCTCCTACCTTAGCCTCCTGGGTGCTAGGATTATAGGCCTGCACCATCACACTCAGCTCACCTTTTTGTTTTTTGTCTTTTTGAGACAGAGTCTCGCCATGCAGTTCAGGGTCTCCCCATGCTGGCCTTGAGCTCACTTTGTAGCCCAGGCTGTTCTCGAACTCACAACGATCCTTTTACCTTAGCCTCCCAAGTGCTGGGATTACAGGCGTGCGCCACCAAGCCGGGCTTGTTGCTCTTATCTTGCGCATATGGATTACGATTTATGACTATTATTTACCATGCTCTACATAAGTCAGTTTCTTTCATGTAAATCTTCTCATTGGCTCCTTTTAGCAGTCTTGGATGAGAAACAGTACTGATCCCGGGTAGAGGTAGGAATAATGAGACTTGGAGGCTGTCATTTTGTCCAGGCACTATTGATCCAGCATTCTTTTCACTTTACTAGTCATTAGCATTTTTTTAACCAAGGGGTAAACTAAGGATAGAGTTTATACTATTTACATAATAGCATATTACATAAATCAGTTATATACTTTGTAAAGTACAGTAACGTTTAATAATTGTATCTTGAATTGAGGTGACAAAACTATGAGTAGAATTCAGTTTCCTGTTCTCTACCTTATTTATGTATTTTTTTTGTTTTGTTTTTTTCTGGTACCAGTAATCGAACTCACGATCTTATGCTTGCCAGGCAGGCACTGTGCCGCTGAGCTAAATCCCCAGCCCCTCTGTTCTCTACCTTAATGTTCTTATAAATCCTGTTCTGTAAAATGGTTAAAGTAGGCTGGGCACGGTGGTGCATGCCTGTCTTCCCAGCACTCAGAGGCTGAGGCAGGAGTATTGCCATGAGTTTGAGGCCAGCCTGGACTACATAGCGAGACCCTGTTTCAAAAAAGCAAACAAAACCAAACGAAAAAAGGTTAAAGCACATCAGATTATAAACTAAACATGTTTTTCTTTAAAAATCATTTAAACAGTAACCTAAAGGCAAAACTTTCCTTCCCAGGATTTCTTCATTCTGCCCATCTTCCTACCAAGACTATGGCTGATAACTGCAGTGATGAGTTTGAAGAGGAAAATAACAAGGTATTTGTGCAGTATAACCCACAATTTCTCATAGAATTTTACTTTTAGACAACACCAACTTGGCAAGAAACATTTCCTGAATACTTACTGCCAGGGCTTGGGTTCCTTTGAACTCATGGAGGAAAAGTAGAAGCAAGGTGGCATCAGATTTTGGAACATTTCAGAAATAAAGATCCAACCCTCTGTGCCCATCCTGGTACTGGGATCAAACCCAGAGCTTTGCATATGCTAGGCAAGCACTGTGCCACTGAGCTACATCCCTGACCCAACCCTAGTCTTACAGCTGACTTTTTGGTGAGGAATTCATAGAAAGTAGGCCAGTGTTTTCACATACTTTACTGACTGTAAGAATCAACTGGAGTGTTTTTATTTATGTCTTTTTTTTTTTTTTTTTTTTTT